TTAAATTTTACTACTAACCTCGTATGCAACGTGAGTTTGGCAGCAATCAGAGAATTTCGTTGTACGATAGAGATGATGATGCTTGGATATGAAATTTGAGCGAAGCGAGTATCGTGAATGCATCTTCACAGACTTGTAATCCGAGACAACCTGAAAAGTACGAAGACGTTCCAGCTTGTGTGCAAATATTGTCCAGAATACTGCTTTATCATCCCCGCCAAAATTCGATGGCTTTTATTTTTCGACGCTGTAACAAGAATGGTCGTGTATAACGACTGATGTACGATACTCATTTTTACTGTTATGAATCGCTGTTCATTTTTGCTTATTTTTTCCTGCCCCATGCTGACGTAGCTAATCACTCTGAAGCACCGGTTATTATGGTTGTTTTTTGATGCCGGTTGCCTCTCGCGGTACCCTCTGGGACTGACCAATCTGGGCGACCTCGAAGATGCTTTCCCATGCATGGACAATCTAAAATTGCTTCCTAACACCACTCAATCACCCAAATTGATATCTACTGTGGATCGAATACCGGAACCTGTGGAACCGGTCTCAATGGCGCTTACACTGTACTATCGGGCAGTGGAAGTCGATCGGTGTTTCTACGCGAATCAACACGTGTATCCTTATACCTGTCTGGCTAGTTGTCTTTACCGTCACGGAGACAATCGGGGAGCGTTGCGATACTGGTCTGAAGCGGCTCGTGTGATGGGACAGTAAGTTGATCCAATTTTTGCGTGATTCCAATCGACCACTGTACCATGCACGAAGTACGATATCATTTTGTCCACTCTGATCTGGGTGGTAACAAGCTTTTGCTAGTGCGAAAAATTGGGAATAAGCTCCGATTTTTCCAAATTGTGTAAGTCAAGTGCCAGGGACGCTAACCACGAATGGACATTCCCTTTCTGGGATGACCGACAAACAGCACGAGACAATTGTTTTGTCTTTGTCGATGCTCCCCACCAGCACAGACATCCCGAAACATAGCTGTTCGTCTAGGGTTATTAAAATGTAGGGCGTGGTAGCGGTTGAACTATTTTTTGTTCAGATGGCGTTTCCGTAGATATCATCCAAAGTTCTGCGTTTCAAACTGCAGATTCCTATTCAGGTTTTCAACTCTCTACCTCTTTGACTATCTTGGCAACAAAAGCAGGAATTTTTACCGTCAGGTAAGCTTCGGCGTTCATTTGCAGCGTAGTTATGCGCAACCGAAGTAATCATGAAGCAGGGCAGAGATTGCACAATGCACAAGGTAGCAATTTATCTTTTCATTTCTCTAAACCTACAACTTTTTACACCAATTTTGCGTGATGATCAACAGACGAGGTAGACCTCATAGTCACGAAGACCAGTGATGCAAATCACTCACGGAGACCTCGGTGGTAGGAGTGGCCTATCACATGGTCCCGCAGGATCAAGCGTGCTATTAAACGGGACGACAATAACGCTGCCTACCACCAACATTGGGTCACTTTGGCGGGACTCAAACCTTAGGCCATAGGATCCAAAGCACGCCGTCGCCAGTAACTAAACCACTGTGCCACCACCGCATCGTAGATAGTCACATTATTGATAGACTTGACTGATTTCTAGGGCTTCAGTTATTCAGTTAAACTTGTTATGGAATGCATTATCTTCTTTTTTGGTTCGTTGCTTTTTTTTTGTAAATGGCAGAAAAGCAACGCTGTCATCAATATTGAATCAATTTTCCACTCATCTCATTCTACTCTTAATTTCTCTCAGTTACAACCACAGCTCTGAGGATTGGGAGATTTACCGAGAACTACTTGAGGTGGCAACTCAACTGATGCCTCATATGTTCCGTTATGCCGCCGAGGCTTCCAGGTCCTGTTCCGAGGGTGCTGTTGACACTGATCCTGATGGTTGTTTGTATCAACCGGAAAATATTTTGGGTAAGCTTCACAATCGATGTTTTGTCATCTTTGAATGCTAAGATTTTTCTGCAAGTTCTTATTGTGGGTATGACCAGAAGATTTCACAAAAAATAGAACAGGTAACATTTCTATGCAGTATTATGTCCTGATTTAAGCGCTTCATCTGCCGGGTCGAATGTTCAACCATGGGTCGGTTGAACTCCCATTTGGTCTCATTCGTTACTTTTTAGTTAGGTCATCGCACAAGATAATCGTAATCGCGCTGAACAGTACATCAAACCGGATGATAAGTGATAACTGGGTTACTGGAGAGAGATATTTTGCCTCTGGTATTCGTATGAATCGGAAACTGCAAGTGCGATTGTGCAACCAAATATCAATACTCCATCAAAAGTGGTCATTTCGGGTAATATGGAGTTCCGTTACCGTGCGAAACAAACAAACGTTCATTCTATTTGGGTAAGCGAGCTATGGTCTATCGGTTCCTACAAAACTGTAGGAGGGACATTTCATCTTCTTCCAAAGAGAGTGAATCCGATAAAGCAGATTAGTTTTCATCCGTTCGAAACAACCAAACGGGATCCCACAATGATTATAAAGAGCAAACGTAATGTTCAGACTGTTTTTCAACTAATGAATAAAAAACCTTTTTCACAAGATCAATAATTTTTTGTATGCCAAAAGAATAAACACGATTACATCGATGGCAAAAATGGGTCAATTCATTACACATGGATGGTAATGAGACGAAGTGCTTTATGACAACCGACGCTATTTTCGTCCATTATTCACCCCATTGATTTTTCTTCCGAGCATTATTTCGCTATGTATCCGACCGGGAGGGCCTATAGGAGAGAGAGAGAGAGAGACGAACTCAGATCTTTCTGGAACAGCAAGCAAATAGAAGTATAGTGACTGTAGTGAATCGCAATGATCTCTGCCGCAGAAGGCCTGATCCACTGTTTGTATTGCGATTGCGGCGTCCCGGGCAGAAATCAGAATAAGATCAGGATATTGTGAGAGACTGAGGTGGAAGCAGTCATTGTTTCTACAAACGGTGTGACACATCAGGTAGAAAATTGGAGCAGAATAGATTGGTGTCTGAGATACAAGCATGTTCACAGTTGAAAGCTGATGAGAGAAGATCCTCCAGAAAGAAATGATAAAAAGTTGAAGAAAGTACGTACTCTTTGAAGACACTGACATTCATACTAACTTAGCGAGATGTGATCATGCTCACTCGGAACGAGAGAGTTTGATCCAGAGCTAAAGCTAATAGTTTAGTCAACAGATCTGTGCGCCAGACTCTATATTGCCACTAAAACCACTTGGGTTACTTGGTGGCTACCGAGTGCTTCATACCTCCGAAAGGTTCAGTATGGTCAGGCGTGGGTGTCTCGGGTTGTGGCTGGTTACCCTTCTCTTGCACCTCGTGAAATGCTCATACACGACCGGGTGTCTCAAATGCATTTCGCACACGTCTGATGTTACACTGTGCCAAACAAATCACGGTACAATGATCCTTATAAAAATAGCCACCGTTGAGGAGGCCCTACTCACTGTCTTCTTATGGCGGAGGTGTTTTCCCATGAAAATGAGAGAACGAGAAGCCAACATCCGGGACAACAACTGGATTGGTGAACCACAGGCAGTTCACCTATGGGAGTTGGCTAAAAACCTTGATTCCAAACCGACCAAGCAGAGTTGCATAAACCACACGTACCTTCGTGTTTGTGGTCGATTAGGCATTGGGGTTTATTGGACACCCTGAACGTTTGACCCCAGGACGTATGATCCGATGCCCTGAGCACCTCCCCC